CAAAACAAACCCAAACCCCCCCCCCCCCCCCCGGGGCCGCTGTAAATAAAGAGGACGGAAAGATGCGGCATCAGGATCCTTGTGGCTTCATCCCAGGGCCGGAATCGGGATCGTAGGGATGGGCTGAGGGGGGGTAACGCCACCAGAGAGGTGGGGGGCACCCCCTTTTTTTGCAGAGCCCCCCCCCCGCCATCAACCTCTGGTTGTTAATCCATGGGATGCCTGCATCCCCTCAGGGAGCAGCAGGGGGGGATTTATACCCGGGGGGATTGGGTTACGGCACCAGGAGGGGTGGGGGGGGCAGGGCAACCCCCCCATGGCACCGAGGTGGGCACCCAGGGCTCGTGGGGGCTGGCACCCACAGCCTGGTGAGGCGGATGGGGGGGACACAGGGTCTATTTATAGTTCCCACCATCTATTTATAGGCAGGAGCCGAGCGAGCGGGTAAATCCCGGTGCTGGGGGGCAACAGCGCTGCCAGGGAGCCCCCCCGGGGCAGGATCCGGGTCTGGGGCACAGAGAGACCCTTGGGTAGGGGGTGTCCCGGGGGTGGGGATGCCAGCTCGAGGAGCAGCCTCGTAAACAACAGTCCCGTGGGTGCCCCACAACGTGGGAGACCCCGCAGGCACCCAAAGGTTGGCAGGAAAAGGAGGGGGGACGAGGTGGGGGGGTCGGCAGGGCCGGGCGCCTCCCGAAGCACCGGGACAGCTGGGGAAGAGGGGGGGGAACCCGGCACCGCCACCCCGAAAGGCCACGACCCGCGGGCAGCTGCCAGCCTGCAAGAAAACGAGCGTGACTTGGGCCAGGGACAGGAGGGGACGGGATGGGGATGGGCCAGAAGCCACTTGGAGGTTGGCAGCGCTCGCAGGGCTCCGGGCAGGGAGGGGGCACCCCCAAAAAGCAGCAGGTTGAGCAGAAAAACGCTTGGACCCCCAATACCACCCCTCCCCGGGGGATGTCCCAATGGCTCAGACACCCCAGTCCTCTCTGGGTGTCTCTATTAACAGTGGGGCTCGGGGGGATGTCCCCAGGGGGGGCAGTGGGGGTACAGGGGGGGCTCAGGCCGGCAGCAGCGCGGGCGGCTCGTCCTCATCGGAGTCGAATTCGGCGTTCTCGTCCTTCACCCACTTGCCGGAGCGGTCCTGGATCCAGCCAGAGCTGGGGACGGAGGGACGAACAGATGGGGGGGGAGTGAGAGGGGGCTGGTTATGGGGGTGTCCCCCTCCCTTCAAACGGGGCCAGGACTCACCTCCGCAGCTGCAGGTACCGCTCCAGGGCCCGGCGCCTCTCGGGGCTGAGGGCTTCAGGCTGGCTCGGGGCTGACGATGAGGCTTTTCCTTTGCCACCACGCTGGGTCCGGGCCGGAGCCGCCTTCGGTGCATCTGGGAGGGCAGAGAGGGGCTGGTGAGACCCACAGAAAGGGCCTGGACCCCTCTTCTGCCCAAGCTGGTGCAGCCCCACAGCCACCAACCGGCTCTTACCCGCTCGCCCACCGCGCTGTCCCGGCAGCAGGGCCGCAGGGCTGGCATCCACGGCTTCTCCGACTTTTTTTGAGGGCTCCGGGAGCACCGGGGTGGTGCTTGGCCCCATCTGGGTGACACCAGCCTGGGAGCTGCTTCCCTCCACCCTGTGATGGGAGAAGGAGTCAGGGGCTTGTCCCATCAATGCCCGACGGCGGCGAGGCCACGGCGCTGCCGATTCCTCC